CGAGACTATTATAATGAAAAGTGAATATTCAATGTAAATGCCGCCGGTTTGAATGAGTAATATTCTGCGTTTCTCTCGCGATTTACGAGATGCCGGGATACATCTCCGTTTCCAGGTACGAGGAAGAGATCGAGAGACCGATGAAACGTCACTGTTCGGAACAGGCGGTCGCGGAGGTGTCCTGGGACGACAGGACGCAGGAGATGGTGAGGTATCACGAATTGCAGCCGCCTCTTCCACCGGTCCAGTATATATCCGCCGCTCATAACGCGCATCACTCACACGCGACCACGCAGATGGCACATTCGCACGTGTCCACACCCTACGCGCAGTATCACCGCTACGTGCCCGGTATCGAGACGTGGCCAAATTACATGTAGACCGATGCGAAGTAAACGACGGCTCGTTATTTTACCGCAGCGCGGACTCATCGGAAACGCGCATTTCTAAAATTCGAGATGGGGAAATGCATGCCAAATTCGCTAAAAGTCCAAATCTAGCGTTATCTCTAGTATTTGATAACACGCGAGTTTGAAGAGAGAGAAGTATGTAACACTTCAAAGTATCGTTCTTTTTTTTTGGAAATTTGCGACCAAAGCTAAAGCCTTAATGCTCTAATTTCGCGTACCAAGTGTCGCGTACCGATTATAGCACAAACTCGTAAAGATCGATTTCAAAAGTAATGAAGAAAAGCCAAATAAAAAGGGGTTTGTTGCGTCGAATCGCGCATTTTGTAGAGCAAAGAGTATAAAGAGCATAATGTAGCATTTATGTATTATTGTGAATATATTCTGGAAGACGCGTTAATGAATAAAATTCGTCACAAATGTCTTTCCTCGCCCGACTTGATCGAGGAAAGTGAAAGTTCGCGGTTGCGCGCTAGTCCGAACTAATCTACTAGAGACTTACGAGTCTAGGATCTGATAGCCAATTTTGTTTTTCGTTTATAAAATATTAGATTTATAAAATATCAGAGACTTTTTTTCCGTGCAAATTATTCGTCGAGTTGCTGTTTTAACAAAATATTAAAATTCACTGCGCATTAATCAGTACTAGATTGGTGCAAAAGGTTTGTCGCACTTATCAAGACATCACTTGAATGTTTAATCGTTTTCAATCCGAGAAATGAATGCGTTATGGAAATTTCACTCGACTGGGAACGTCGAATTGGCCATTCTACCACTCGAGAGTCTCTACTATGTGGACGAGGCGCGGCCGCCGCTACTCACCATGACATCATTCCATGACAGCCGGCCATTCCAAAGCGCAGAATTTCAGGCCAAACAAACAGGCCGCTCGATATACACGGTGCCCCGGCGCGAGTGCTAAATATATATATATATATATATATATATATATATATATATAAAATATATATATATATATATATATATATATATATATATATATATATATATATATATATATATGTACGTGTGTGCGCGAGAGACGCGCGGACGCTATAAACTGTCGATCGGTTGGTTCGCTGCGTGCACGCTCACGCACGCCTTGTTCAAATAAACCGGTGAAACACGATCGAAGGTGGCAACAAATGTGTCTGGCGATTTGCGCTCTCTAGGTATTTCAGGATTCGGACAATGCGTTGTTGAAGTCCCGGCGACGATTGCGCCTCGCAAGGAGCTTGATAGACGAAGAGAATAATTGGTTACATATGATAGTTGGAATTGTCAAAACTCGTTAAAAAATTGTTGTTCGTTTACGAGGATCTTACCTTAATTGGATCTTTGTCGATGACAATCGGTGTATCGGGGACCACGAATCAGCCTGACATTGAGCGTTCGGTAATGTACACGAGAATTTACAGATAGCGCCATATTAAAACACGTAGATCGCGTATATTATACATTATTAATACTTAATAGTTGCTATGCCGACAGAGAGAGAGAGAGAGAGAGAGAGAGAGAGAGAGAGAGAGAGAAAGAGAGAGAGAGAGAGAACGCTGCGCTTTTGTACTTAGATATTTATTCACCGCATTACGGAAATCAATATAGAGCGTACATTAACGTCTCGACGTAGTCCTGCACGTTCAAAAGTGAGCCTTAAGTTGTAATTTATAAGTGCGATGTAATGTGCTAATTTGTAGAAATAAAGCAACAAGAGACTATAATCAATGTATTTCATTCCTTCCGCTCCTAGTTTTTCGGGTATTAGAAATATTTTCTTCTGCATCCTGCGATTGTTCGTTTGTACGTTGAAAAATTTGTTGGAATTTTCTTCAATGTATATGTAATCGCAGAGAATAGGAACGATTCGCAAGAAACGCCTAGGCTTCTGAGAGATTTTCTACCGAAAGGATTAATTTCCCAAATCCAACCGAGTTCCCAGGACGCGAAAATGACGCGATTCGGTGTCGCCGACGAGCACTCTTATCGCTCCCTTAGGTGATATTTGCAACGACATATTCGTAGCGAAGCGAAATAGCACACGGACTAGGTCACACGCGGTAACAACGCGCCTCAAATATTTGTGTAGCCCTTTACCTTCCTCTCTTAACGACCCGAAAAGCGCGAATGGACCACTCTTTGGGTCGTCGTTGTGCAAACAAGGCTTATCGAAATCCGTCCAGCATGGAGAGAACGTGGGAATGTCGCGACTTTTATGCCACTTATCCGCGCTCGGGAGATTAAAAGGAGAGGAGGCGCACGTGTAAACGGCATCGTTCGCGCTGCTAGGCGCACGCATGTATTTCTGACACGTGTGAATCTTAGTGGGTACTTGGCGTTGCTTAGATCCCATTTTTTTCTGAGATCTTGTGACCTCGAGATTCATTTGTCATGTTACGTAAATCTCTTTCTATTTCACTTCCCTCACAGCTAATAATATTCGTCTTCTGCGCGATATACACGAGAAATAATTCTGTTGCAATTGTTATTCCATGTAACTATGGACTCTTCACTTGACTCAATCGAGTCAATCTTCGCCTCATAAATGCGATGCTAGCGATTTAATAACTCGACAAAAATAACTCGGCAACTCGCGATCGCGTCGTTGACGATGGATTTCCATTAGATCAGTCCGGCCGACTTTTTTTCCCCTCGTCGTCGAAGAAACAGGAGAGCGACCAAATTGATGGGAGTCAGCTCTTCCATCTCGTATTATCGTATGATTTTTTTCCAATGGCAACTATTGTTGTCAGCCATTGTGGTTTCGATAAAGCGGCGCGTCCGTTGACGAAAACGAGAGATGTAATCATAATCAACGGAATAATTAAGTGACGAAAATTGGACCTAGGCTCTTTTGACCTCAGCACGATAGGATTCCGTGGAAAGTATGATGCGAAGCGTCCGAGAAACAATTGTGACTCCCGCGCGACAATACCGTCCATTGAAATTGGCCGGTGGGTGTCGGAAAGAGCCGCCATTTACGTGTTATCTATTTTAATTTCCTCGCGCATTCGTTTTACTGGAGGGCGAACGTTCTCCGACATCAAACGACTTCCGGATACTTCCCGGAGATCTTGGAAGTATTCTCGTTAATCTCTGCCGTATCTTCTTCGTTTTAGATTGCGGCGACAGTTTTAATAAAGTGACATCGTTGACAGAAATATGAAAATTATAACTTGACACGAAACATATCGATTCTTCGGGGTGTCAGAGCTCCAAAAACGATTCAACTTTATTTGCCTAGTACGCAAAGATCGTGTGTAATTCTGGTGCAAAACCAGCTAAATTAAAAAAAAAAAGTATAGTTATTAGTTAGGCTGCCTACACATTCTCTCGAATAAAGGACATTCCCCTCCTGCGGGAGTACGACCTCGGGCAGAGTGCGTTGACATTTCGTACGACGAACAAATGTTTGAGCAGGCTCGATGGTATCGATAAAATTTTCGACAGTTCCGCCATTCAGCGTACCGCAGAATAAAGAGTTGTAAAGCCTTACAGCTGTTCAGATTGCGCCAGCTACGTTATCGCCTTTTGCTTCTTACTATTCATTCATCGAAATCTCGCCTCGTGGCACGCGAGGGCTATTACGATGATAGCGGGAGAGTTCTTGTCGTTTTGTCCAAATTTCCAAGCAATAGTTTATCGCAAAACTGGAACGAAGCGTATTTTTCGATACGTGTAATACGTACTGTGTTTCACGATGTCAGTTGAGATTTATACGATGAAGACCCTGCTTCGATGACTCCCTGTATATCAAGTGTATGCGTATACAATAGATAAGAAGGGATCGAGAAACTTATCGGCCGCCACGATTATGGCTCTAATTAGCGTGGCAATTAGGCCGTTTGAAAAATCACTCTGGATTATCGCGGAGATAAACGGCGTCGAATCGTTCGTGCCGAAACTGTCAATTGAATTCGCCCGG